CCTGCCCCCTGGCTCCCTTACCCCGCCGCTCAGAACATGGTGTTGGGCTCTGTGCGGAGCCGGACACGTGGCTGCACTCCCCAGCGCAACACACAACCCGGTCCCACCCTACCCAGTGTTGCCGGAGCAGGGCGCTGGGCTGCAGGGGAGGAGGAGCTGCCGAGGCCCGATGCAAACGGCCCGGCAGGCCGGCCGGCTCAGAATGCAGGGAGGGAGGGGGGGAGGAGGAGCTCTACAGCTGCTCTGGAGTCCAGCCCGGCAAGCTGCGGGGGAAGGGCTCTGGCTGCCAGAGCCCCATACGAGCGGCTGACTTTCCTGCAGCCCTCCCAACCGCGCCTCGCTCTGCATGGGGGGGAAATCCTGGACATTTTTAGTGATTTACAAATTCCCTCCCGGACGCTATTTTTAACACAAAAAGGAGGACATGTCCGGGTAAATCCGGACGAATGGTAACCCTACATCAACTGCAATGTCAGGTTCGCACTGGTGTAGCTTCAAGCAGAATTTAAGCCTTGGCTGTTTGTTTAGGCATCCTTTGGCTCATTTATTAGAAGCAGAAAATTTAATTTTTAACAGTGTTTAAAAATAGTTTCCCTCAAAATATAGCAAAAAATTGTCCTCTTTCCATGAATCTCCATGTTCGTGGCATGAGCTTCCAGCAAACACAGCTAGAGGGAGGTATTTAGGGCCAACTGGGCCCATCTGCAAACGACGTACTGCAAAACTTGTACACTTGAGTATTCTGGGTGTACAGTTGTTACATAAATCTGCTGGGTTTATTACTGATTATTAATAAAACAAATAAAATTACATCATCATCCATACTGTTAAGTTTGGCTTGCCTTTTACCCACCCAAGCAGTCCCATAGTATTGCTTGGGTGAGTCAGGTGAGGCGCTGTAGGGGTTTAAATGTGACAACATTTTCTGATTGACCCTCTAGTACACAAGTTTAAGGTGGTTGCCTGTAGTATAGGGATGTCTGATCAAGGCTTTCAAATCTGTGCAAGAAAAATGATAATACTGTAGTACTGCCACTTATTTTTCCCAAGCTCTGTAGGATGGTGTCTGGCATTTCACTAAATGTCCCTTTTTCCTCTAGGCCACTGCAGTAGGCTGCTAGCTTAGATGAAATCTCAGCCAAGCACATGCTTTTAAGGGCAGGAAAGTCTATTGCCATAGGGAATGCTGATCACCAAGACCGCAAGTTTAACATATGCCAGCTAGTTTGGAAACTACAGCTAAAAATGTAGCGTGAGGGGCATGAAGTTACTGAGGCTTCGGCTGGTTGCATTGTCTCTAGGATATTGTCCAGTGGAACAGCATGTTGCTGAAAGGGGCACAGTTTTTGCTGTTAAATGCTGTAAAGGACCCACTCTCCTTCCAGTATGTTATAGAACAGCTGTACAGAAAACCAGAATTAAAGAGCTTGCAATGGATGTTATCCACAGAGGCACTGACTATTATGTGGCCTTGTTAATTGGAGCTAAAACAATCTCCCATCCTGGTTGGTCAGATCATTCTGTCTGCATTATTCTAACTCTAGTGATTTCAATGGAGTTATTACTGACTTATGCCTGGGTGAGAGCAGAATCGGGGCCATAGTCTTGAGAGAGTCAGACTCACAGGGTGAAATGCTGGCCCTGTTGAAATCAATTAGAGTTTTGCCATTGACTTCAATGGAGCCAGGATTTCATCGGTTAATTATAACGGAGGATATGTCTCTAAATCCCCTAAACTGCTCTGATAATCTCAACCAGAGGCTGTAGAGATGGAAAACAACTAGATCCTGAGGGAATAATTCATAATGAGTCATTTCTGTGCAGAATTTAGCCTTTTTTGTCAGCTGCTGGAAAATCTGCCAAAAGATCACTATGTCCATGAATGTATTTGTTATTTAAATTTATTTGACTAATATCTTTAGGAATTGTTTATTCTATGCATTGACTGTGACTGTTCAAAATTCAAATGATAGAAAAGACTATCTAGTCCAGTAGTTCCCAATTTTTTTTCTGCAAATGACCCCTTTGGCATCTGACTAAAGGCACTGGACCCCTTTCATTTTTTATACGTCAGTTTCATGTTGTTATAGGGCCTTTACATTTCATTTTTATCTGTATTTCTGTTTCTCCTAAATGGGGGTATTACTTTCCTGTCTTGTATAAGTGACACGAGTCTTGACATCTGTGACAAAAAAAGTACTTCTAAACCCTCACAGGGAGGATGTAGTCCTGAAGGGTACTATTGGAATGCCCCTTCCAGCCTGGGAATACCTCCACCAGTGTGACCTCTCACGCTGTTTGGAGGACACCATTTTGAGAACAAAATGGCATCCTCCGTGCAGTAAAAGTGCCAGAACACTGTTTAGGCCCTGGCTCCAGG